TCTACCATCATCTATCCACCTAGTAAGAAAAGAAGCAGGGATAAAAAGGAAGTCTGATTGCCTAGTACTAGGCAAATTTAAAGCCTCCACATCAAGTTCTCCTGTAGCTTTGTTTTAGAAGACAATAATCTTCTCACAGATCCCTGAAAAAAAAGTGTCAGTATTTACCCTCAGGAGAGGCCCCAGGTCTGTAGATGGAAGGTGAACCAGCAGAAGCTCCCCTGTCACTACAAACAACACATGGGGAGGTCCTGAGGTAAATCCCTGCCCGCAGCGTTTCCCAGTTTCCTGGGGAAGGGGGTGCCCATAGGTACCCACAGGCTCCATGCTGCAGTACAGGCTCTTCCCCTGCTCACTCAAAGACTGCATACCTCACATGGGCTCCAGGACACCCTTCATGGAAGTAGTCACCACAGACATCAGTGGTGTGCTGCGGGCTGTGCAGGTGAATGAATCCTTCACCAGATCTTGGCATTAGCTCTTCCATCATCAGTTCTAGAACACTGGAAACTCCAGAAAAAAAATCTACATCTCTTTCCTGTGGAGTACTATGGAATTCTTGAAACCCAACACACACAGCTGCCTCCAAGTGGTACCTTGGGCTGACCTTGCTTAAAAGCCACCAGTTTTCAGCTTAAGAGTTAAGAAGCATTACAAAAATAACAAACCTGAAGTTGCATTTCTGACATGGAGCAAAATTGCAAGAAAAAGCATTTGAGCTTTATTATAAGTAGCATTTGCTAGGTGTTATAAAATCCACTGTGCTGCAGAACAAGGACTTTGATGTTTCAATCAGTTTCTAACTAACTGATGATGTTACTTAACGATAGACAGAGCTGCCCTTTCTTGATTATAGGACTGTATCAGAACACTGTGATTTTCTGAAAGACTGCAGGGACTGTACCTGACACACTAAGATCAGAGAAATTTGCCATCCCTGCTCTACCCTTGCAATCTCATTTCCTGGAAAGCAGCAGAATCAACTGTGGTGAGAAAAAGGCCTTTCTCAGGGCTGGGGGGAAATAAAAAAATCTCTTAATTAACTATTTATTCAAAATGAAAGTTTATTAAAAACACCTCTGTATTTTACTTTTTTAAAATTTTTTGAAAATGCTGCTACTGTTACAGAATATAGTTTTTTTGGTTGAAAGAAACAGAAACAAACATTGCAAAAATTTTCAAGGAACATAATTACTATATTTCAAACCTTAAAAACAAAACCAAAGTACTTATAAAAATTTACATGAAAGACATTTTCTGCAAGATCTTAGTGGGATATGTCTTGAATTTCAAGGACCGACAGCTCCCTCAAGTTGTTACAGAAATGGTCGCATCTTTAATGTATTTGGGAAATGGTAAGTGTTGTCTAAATACAGCCTCATGTGTTTGGAGGAGAAAAAACAATGCATAGTGGAGGTTGGTTGAAGCAAAGTGAAGAAGTTGTACGTTCCACTCTGACTGCTGGTCTCACCAGTCACCTACTTCAACCACAAAGGGTTCTTTTACAGCTATTTTGCCACTGTTCACAATCACACAGTCCTGAAGGGGCTGGTCATGCTCATCCGTCTGCTGGAGTTCTATTGAGTGCACCACAGACTGTTACGGGGAAAAAAAAAAAAAAGAGTTCAGTTTAACCAAGGAAACTCCAGTGACTCACGTCTGGTACCAGGTGAAAACTGAGTGCTCCTACCATGACTGTCGATTAAGCAACTTCTGAACAAAGATTTCTACCCTGTTGAGTTCCCACATGGGTTTTTTTGCGTCTCTTTTGCCACATTAACTGTTGTGCCACTCCACAGGCCACACACAGTTGACAGAAGCACACGGAAAGCTGTCTGCCCTTCTATAAAAAACTTTCAGCCAGCAAAAATATTATGAAGAAGCAACTGAAAATATCCTTTCAGCTGATCGAACCAGCACATACAAGGTCCATCTGTAGCCTATGAGCAGAAAGTGAATCTAAAGATATAAGGGATAAGCATTAATTATTTTTCTAATCATAGAGCATCACTGTGCTTCAAGAAATCTGATGACTGCTTTCACCTTTAGTACAGTGCACATACCCACACAGAGTTTAAGGTGTGGTACCATGCCCTCCAGTCAGACAGGTATGGGTAAATTACTGGCCTCCCTTGAAGCACCTGATGAAAGCAGCGTTTTTAAAGAACATTCAGTTAGGAATACTGGCTACTTGTGGCTTTGGATATTTGTCCACTCATCTAACTGAACTAAAACTCAGTCTAAGTCTCTCCTCAAAAATCTTCATCTACTATCATAGCTCATGAGAATCTATTTCCATATGAAGGTGGGAGTGGAGGCGAAGTGTTCTGACGAGGTTTTCAAACTCCTCAGAGAACTCATCAGTGTAGCAGCTTGTTTCCCCCATTCACTTCAAAACACAGATCAAACAGAATAATTTGGGAGAATTAGACTACTAGAAATATAATCAGTCAGATGTACCAGCTTTAAATTTAAATTCTGTTTGGTCTTTGATCAGTTTTGCAGCTGTGTACGGTTTAAGGAAACCAGCTAGATCTTTTATTTTCCTTTCCAAACAGACCTGCGTATAGGTATTTGTACACTTTACATTCACACGCTTCTGAAAGTCCTCAAAGTGTGACAGCGTTCCCCATAAATAGCACATGGTACAGAATTAATTGTAGCTTGTAGAAATACAATTATTTCATGGCTAACAGTCTTAGTGAAAGGGGCACCTGAACTTACTCCATTTTTAATCTGCAATGGTGTCACTGTTGATTTCACTGGCTAGTGGTCTGAAACAAGAGCTGTGAAAGCCAAAGGCGTGATTTAAGTCTCCATTTCTGCAGTTACCATTTACTAATTCAGTTCTACACTGTCTGGCTCCAGGCTCTTCACAACTGTTTTTTACCATGTATTAGTTAAAAACTCAATTGTTCTGAACCACAACGGTGTAAATTACATTAACACAGATAAAGAATGGTAGAATTTGTCCAGATTTTCTTGGATTAATCTTGCCACTACTTTTTGCTTACCATTCCATCAAGGACTTTACCAAATACTACATGTTTTCCATCTAACCAGGAAGGCTTTGTCACACTGATGAAGAACTGAGATCCGTTGGTGTCTGGGCCAGAATTAGCCATGCTAACCCATCCAATTCCATAGTGTTTGAGCTTGAAGTTCTCATCTGGAAACTTTTCTCCGTAGATGCTTCTTCCTATGACACAAAATAAGAAAGCAAATTTAAAACAAACAAACAAACAAACAACAACCTAAGAACACAGCACCTTTTTGTTCAAAAATGGGAATAACAAAGTATAAATTCAGGTACTTGATTCATTGTCTAAGTAAGCACAGTAACACCACTGTTCCATCATCAGTAATTCTGTATCTAAAAGCATTTTGAGTGTAAAGAAAAAGAAAACCTAAACCACCACATATAAGCAGAAAATACTTAAAGCTAATGATGCTTTATCCTTTGAATTTAACATGCAAGCTGGGTACTTTCAAAGATCTTGCTTACATACACCACTGAGTAATAGTATTCTTCACCCTGTTCAATATATTTAAATTGTGTCATTTTGGCCACTAAAAATAAGGCTGCCATGTTTTGTGACAATTTGAGTCTTTCATTTACAACTTTTCCTCCTAATAAATAATTCCTTTAGACATGTTTAGAAATACATGAAGACAAATCTTAGTCTAAAAGACTTGGTGTGGATTTGTACAACCATTAAGTAAGTATTTTGATGGTTTTAAAACAGTTGAGGAGAGAAAACATTTGAGTCAAGTTTAAACCACCATCACATTGAAAAGAGGAAGCTGTCTCATTTGTTATTTGTACAGTGCCTAGCACAATGGGGACACTCTCCCAAACCCACCAGATGCTATCCCAATAAACAGTATTAGCGGGCAAACAAACACTGCCTACCTTTAATGCTAAAACTGTCTTTGACGTTTTAGCCTTGCCCATTGTACGATGCCAGGAAAAGGAATGTGTGTTCCATTCTGTCCCAGCTGGAAAGTCACTAACTTTGCACACAGACAGTTTGAACAGTAGCACATGAAGAAAGCACACGTGAAAGGAAAGACATGAGAAGAATGAATGCAATGCCAGAGATGCTGCACTGAGACTGCCCTCCTTGCTGGACTGAACGGGTCTTCTGGAGGCTCAGGAGGCAGAAGCGACACATGCAGCCACAACTCACACCACTAGTAAGTTTATGGTTTTATATTTAGTAAGAGTAAAAAAGGGGAGAGGGTATAACCCTCATTTTCTAATTTTTCTACCCCTATCTTGATAGCACATTTCAGGAGGTTCCACAGAACTGCCTGAGTGCAGAGAGGACAGCCTACTCCCTCCCTCTCTGCCTTCCTTCTGCGTGCTTCCACTGCTCCATCAGGGATCTGAAGACTGGCGCCGGTGCAGGTTCACATGCCTGAGGGAGTGCCTGAGGGCAGGAGCACCCTCACCAAGCCAGAGCAGGGGAAGGGTGGGGACATCCTGCCCGGTCACAGGGCTCCGGCCTCTCGAGAGGGGACAGGCCACAGGCAGAAAAGAGCTATCTGCAAAAACTGAGGACAAAGCAAGCACTACACATACTTATCACCTGATAATCCAAATAATTGCAGCTTATGTTCCCAGGTGCTTGGAAAAGTACTTGATGCTCTAAAACAAGTGGGTTTTATTTTTGCATTTATGTGAGCTGAAAGAATGATGGAATACACTGTTTGGCTCATCTTTTCAGCAGACATGCAAAGAAAGGAAAGGGAACCTGGGAGACACTGAGCATGTTACCTCCTGATCCATCTCCAGCTGTAAAGTCTCCTCCTTGAATCATGAAGTCTTTGATCACACGATGAAATTTACTTCCTTTGTATCCATATCCTCTCTAAGAAAATGAAACCATTCTTTAAATGAATATAGCATCTAGGTCTATACAATCACATGCAAATAGTCATGTGGTGAATGGCCAGATTTCACCAGATATTCCTCAGCTGGGGACAAATACTGGCAAGAAACAAATTAAACTGAGGTGGCAGTGAGTGCAGATGGGCTGCACTGCCACACAGCAGGTATTGTTCAGGTGATCCAAGCCATTGTCTTTATCTGACTGGTGTCTGACCACAGTACCTCTACGTGCTATATCTCCATGGCAGGGACAGACTGAGGTGGTTACATCCAGCATCTTATAGTTCCATCCTGCAAACCATGCCCCAAGGACCTGAGAAGACACACACCAGGCAGCCTTGGGGATGGCAGTCTTACACAGGCTTCACTGTATTAAGATTGGCAGTTCCTAACTGATGCAGAATTAAACCAATATTTACTTCCCAATCCAAGCTTAAGTACACAGTGGAAGAAAACTGCAAACGTACTTCTCCAGTCGCCAGCACGATGAAGTTCTCCACAGTCTTTGGGACAACTTTTCCAAATAATCCAATTACAATTCTGCCAACATCTTTGTCTCCAATCTTCACATCAAAGAACACCTGAACATTTTTGTGAAAAGAACAAAAGTGATACAAACATGAGCACAACATAAAAGGCCAAGCTTCTGAAAGCATAACTGGTGAAAAACTGCTTCTGGCTGGGCTATATTAATAATATCCTTCAATTTCTGAGGGTGCTGTTTAAGAAAAAACATTTCAGAGCTACCAAAACCACATTATGCAGAAAACTGTTTGAGAACAGGCAACAATACGTTTGGATTCTTATTGCTTTTAAGAGCTCTGTGAGACTGCTGTATCAGAGGTTTGAAGGCAGCGTTCAAGAAGATTTTTCCAGATTCTTCCCAGATATGCATGTCTTTAAAGCTGTATGGAAGAGCTGAAACATAGAAGCCAGGAAGAACAGTGACTGTGTTCCAGCGTGGCGAACAGTAACAAGGAACTGTAGTACTGATGCTCCCAACAAACAATAGCTTGCTCTCCTCCCATAATCTTCACTGTCCTAGAAATTAGTATGTGTATGATTAAGTACAGGTGAAAACCTAAATTTCATTAAATTGAGAAACAGTAGGAAGAAAACCCTATGGCTCAAGTAAATAGCCAATTTCCTAAATATGAATTCAAACCTCACAAAGAAATAACTGGGCTACACTATTCAAGCTATTGCCTAAAAGCTTCAACATAGATGTTGCTGAAAAGCAAATTCAAAATGGCAAGCGAGTTATAAAGCATTTTAATATAGTCCAGAGTATATGAACGAGTATTTGAATGTGCAAAAATGTTCCAACAATTACTGAAAATAGGAACAGCTGTCAGGAAATGAAGCATTTTGAAGTTCTGAAAAAGTTACATACAGACTATTACAACTTCTAGGAAACAGCAATGTGTATTCCTGTGATGTGGTAACTGCTGTTCCTTGTGGCACTCGACCAAATATTACTTGTCTGCAACCCTAAGAAATTAGTCCAATAATGATAATAAATTACCATGGTCTCTCCAATGTGAATGCCTCTTTCACGCTCTCCTACTAAACATTTCTACTGTTTCTTGATCTTCCATGTGGTTTTGACTGTTGAGCTTTTGGCTAACACTATAAAAGCTCTGTAAAGAAAATAAAATTCCTTTTGATACACCTCATTCATTTCCTTGGCACTAAATAACATACTTCTTAGATGTATGGCTCCCAAAGTATTAACAGTACACTTTCACTAACTCCTGAGCATTTTTATAGACGTACCTCTCTGAATTTTGCCATCATGGTTATGTGGGTAAGAGGTATTGCCTGCCTACATTTTCTAAATGCACCTTACTTTGCCTGGAAACGTCTTCCTAGTGTAAGGACTGCATGAAATATATAAGCATGTGTTAGCAACTCAATCAAGGCTACCAAACAGTGACCCCAGAGCAGCAGCAACATCAAACACTTCCACAGAGCAGACGGAGACAAGTCCACCACAGACTGCAAACCTAACCCAATCAGAAGGCTTCCCTCGCTCCTGGCAGAGCTGCCCGCCTATGTAACACTTCCAAAAAGCCTCACTTGGGCTCACTCTGCACTTGTGAGACTGCCGGCTTCCCGTCAGCACTGCACGTGCCCAGGCGGCGCGCTGGGTGGCGTCGGCAGAGCCCCACGCTTCCTGACCCGGCACCACCTAA